TCGATGACCAGCTGCCCGTTGCGGTACAGCGTGATCCTGCGCTTGCAGTGCACCATTCCCCTCTCTGCTGCCCCTGGCTGTGGTTCCTCGGGCTCCTCCGGGGCTGGCCGGGTTGGAATGCTGTGCCTGACCCTCAGGATCCTGCCTGGCTTCACCTCCATGAAGCTGTAGCCATTGCTGGACTCAACGCTGTCCAGCGGCCCCACGGCGTTGGTGGTCTTGCCCATCAGGCAGCACAGGAGACCATCGGTGATGCTGTTCAGCATTATGCTCCCTGCAGAGAGGGGGTACAGGAAAACAGGGGGTTAGGTACCAGTTCCAGCACCCAGCAGGGTCCTGGCTGGGGCACAAAGCACCAGTGACAGCCTTGGCCCCTTCTCCTTTGCTGCAAAGCCACTGAAATGTGAACAAAGGCTTGATGGGCCTCAGGGGTGAATTTGGGGGTCCTGACTGGGGCACAAGGCACCAGTGACAGCCTTGTCCTCATCTCTTTTCCTGCAAAGCCACCGAAATATGGGCAAAGGCTTGGTGTGCCTCTGAGAGTGAATTTGGGGGTCCTGGCTGGGGCACAAAGCACCAGTGACAGCCTTGGCCCCTTCTCTTTAGCCACTGAAATGTGAACAAAGGCTTGATGTGCCTCTGGGGGTGAATTTGGGGGTCTTGACTGGGGCACAAAGCACCAGTGATGTCCTTGTCCCCTTGGCCTTTGCTGCAAAGCCACTGATAAGAGCTTGATGTGCCTCTGGGGATGAATTTGAAGGTCCTGGCTGAGGCACAAGGCACCAGTGACAGCCTTGTCCCCTTCTCCTTTGCTGCAAAGCCACTGATACATGGATAAGAGCTTGATGTGCCTCTGGGGATGAATTTGAAGGTCCTGGCTGAGGCACAAGGCACCAGTGACAGCCTTGTCCCCTCTCCTTAGTCACTGAAATGTGGCCAAGGGCTTGATGTGTCTCTAGGGGTGAATTTGGGGGTCCTGGCTGGGGCACCAGGCACCAGTGACAGCCTTGACCCCTTCTCCTTTGCTGCAAAGCCACTGATACATGGGTAAGAGCTTGATGTGCCTCTGGGAGTGAATTTGGGAGTGAAAGTGATGCTCCTCAAAAGCACAGCCCTCCTTGGCCTCGTGTAGATGTGCCAGATCCAAGCTGGATGCAGCATTCCCTGTCCCTGAGCTGGCCCAGCACTCCCTGTCATACAATTAGGCCTTGGAAAAGGGATCTGACTGAGGGAAGGACCAGGGAAAGCAAAGCCTGTTTGAAACAAACAAAAAACCTGCTCCTTTTCAGCTACAAATATGGAGCAAAGGGAAGATCCAGCTCTGGAAATGCATTATTTATCCCAATTAAATATATGTATATATACATGTCTTTAAACCACAGAGCTGAACAGTGAGAGATGGGAATGACAGGGACAGGAATGAAGGATTTAATTAAAAAATCACTTCATAAACCACAGCTGAAAATAATACAGTCAGAGAAGGAGAAAGGAGGGGGAACCCTCTCCCTACACCCCTGTGTGGGGATGTGGCACTGTCCTTGCTGTCCCCAAGGCTCATTCCTTGGGATTTATTCTGTGGGAGAGGCTGTGGATGCCAGGAGCACTGAGCCTGGGGAGGGGAAAAGAGGGTGGCACTGGGACCAGTGGTGCTGGGAGGTCCCTGGCTGGCAGCAGGGTGTGTTAATTATTGATGAAGAGAAACACAGTGAATTATTGATGCTGATGGGCAGAGGGAGCTGAGCAAAAAGGGCTGCTCTGGCAGGAGGGGGCACTGCGTGCCCACCACGACCTCCCAGGAGAAGGAAGAGTGTGTTCCCAGCCAGGAATTGAAGGGATTAATCCCAGTGATCCTGGCAGGAGTAGCCACTCAGCTCCCTGGGCAACCTGGCAGGGTTACAAGCTCTGGGCTGGAAGGTTGTGCCAAGCAAAACCAGGCTGGAGGCAGCTGGGAGTGCACGGCTCATCTCCATGGATTTTAACACTCATTCCAGTTGGGAAAGCCAAGCCCAGACCCTCCTCAGTGATCCCCATGGACCCCAACACACCCAGCCTGGCCCCCACAAGGACTGGATCTGCCAAGGAGAAGCTCCAGCCCCATCCCAACACACTGCTCCTGGGTTTTCCTGGAAAAACCAGTCTGTTTGCTCCAGGCAGGTGATCCTGGTAACAGTTCCCTTGGCAAAGGCAGAGTGCTATATCCAGGGAGCTCTGCCAGCTCTGAGGGCAGCAGCCAGTGCTTGATTCCTGCCTGGGAACAGTGTCCTGACTCCCACACAAACACCACACGAGGCTCTGGGTGCTGGATGTAGGTATTGGGAATGAGCAGAGCTCCTTCTCCTTCTGAGCTCCCCTGACACTGGGCTTGACATTCCCAGCTCTCTACAGGTTGGTGTCTGGGTTTGGATCAATGATTTTCTGGGCACAGGCACATTCATGCAGGATCAGGCTGCACCAAGAGCTCTCCAGCTCCAGGGATAGGCTCATCCAAGGAACAGCAGGATGTCTTGGAGCCTTGGGAAGAAGCCAAATCCAGAGCTGGTTGGCACAGGGCTGGGCTGCTCTGCTGAGCTGTGTTTCTGGGGAGGAGATGGGCCTGAGGAGCTGGCACCAGCCTGGCTGGAGCCCTGGCTGCAGCACTCCTGGATGCCCTTGCACCAGGATGGACACACCACAGCTCTGGGTGGCTCTTGGTCCCTGAGCTCTGAGCTGGTAACACTGAACAGGGGGAAAACCCGAGAGGAGAGGGGAATTGAGGCACCCCTGAACCTCCTGCACAGCTCTGGGCATGGTCCCCCCAGGCTCAGCCCATGGAACCAGGATGTGATTCCACCTCTGATTCCCATAAAGCTTGTCCTGGCTCTCTGCCTCCATTCCACAAGGTCCTAATGATCTCGGGATGGATTATAAACAGGACTTGTGGCCAAGCTGCCCCGACATTGATTAACTCCTCGGGATTAACTCAATTAGTCCCTCCTGTTCATTTCCACAATTGATTTGCTGCAAAGCTCTGGCAGTCAGGAGCTCTGCAGGCAGATCCAGGAGCACAGGCCTTGGAGCTGCCCCCTGGCATCACTGGCTCTCTGGGTTGGAGCCTGGATCCCACTGCAGGATCCACTTGGATACACTCAGGCTGGAGCTCATGGTCCAGGATGTGGCTGTCCCTGATGGGTATGTGAGCAAACATCACTGGAATCATGGAAACATGGAATTCCCTGATGGGGATCTGAACAAACACCACTGGAATTATGGAATCTCCTGATGGGGATCTGAACAAACACCACTGGAATTATGGAATCATCTGAACAAACTGGAATCATGGAATTCCCTGATGAGGATCTGAGCAAACACCACTGGAATCATGGAATCTCCTGATGAGGATCTGAACAAACACCACTAGAATCATGGAATCATTTAGGTTGGAAAAGACCATCGAGACCAACCCTTAACCACCACATTCACCACTAAACCTTGTCCCCAAGTGCCACATCCAAGTGCCTTTTGAACCTTTCCAGCCCATGGAATTCCCTGATGAGGATCTGAGCAAACACCACTGGAATCATGGAATCTCCTGATGAGGATCTGAACAAACACCACTAGAATCATGGAATCATTTAGGTTGGAAAAGACCATCGAGACCAACCCTTAACCACCACATTCACCACTAAACCTTGTCCCCAAGTGCCACATCCAAGTGCCTTTTGAACCTTTCCAGCCTTGAGCACATCCCAGTCCAGTTATTCCATGGGAAATGGAGGGACAGGAGGTTAAGCACCTTGACTCCTTGTCAGGCTTCATTTTGGAGCTGGGAAGCAAATCCTTCCTGTCTCCCACCTCCCACACACCTCCCGTAACCCCCCGCGCCGTCTGCCACTGCCGAAGCAGCCAGAAGCATCCAGGGATGTTCCCTGGGTGAGATGAAAAAAAGGTTGGAAAGGAAACCAGATAGATGCAAAGAACTTTGCAAAGATGCTGGTAACCATGGAGATGAGCTGCTTCCCCCATCCCAGCGCTCTCCCATCTCTGCTCCTCCTGCCTGGGAGAGTCATTTCAGCACCGGATCCATAGGGACAGGCACAACAATGAGTCAGGCACAGCAGGATCCTGCTGGGGAAGGGCTTGGGAAGGAGGGTGGCATCGCCCCGAGGTCATACCCACCTCGTGGTGCCCCCCCAAAAATCACATTTCCCCCCAGGGAACTGCTCCCAGCTGAGAGAGGACGCTGAAGGGATGAATCCCAGCAGGAGGATTTTTTTCCCAGGTGCAGACCTGGTCCTGGAGTATCCATGTGGAGTTCTTTAGCTGGGAAAAAAAACAACTTCCTGACCTACTTCGGGCTGCAGTGTCTCTGGTTTTATACAACTGGATGGTGCTGTGGCACAGCTGGAGAAAAATGGGATGAGACGGGAAGTGGCAGGGAGGAGGGAGGAGAGACTGAGGGGAGAACGTGACAGGCAGGGACACGGGGCTGGGGTAGGGGATATGGGGCTGGCAGGGGGGCCATGGGGAGGGCATAGGGGCTGTGGGGCTGGCACAGAGGACACAGGGCTGGCACAAAACTCTTGGGGCTGGCACAGGGGCCGTGGGGTTGGCACAGAACTCTTGGGGCTGACACAGAGCCCATGGAGCTGTCACAGATCCCATGGGATGGTAAATCAGCACAGTGCCCACACCACATCTGTCCCAGGGATGTGCCATCACCCCACGGGCACACTGAGGACCACACCAAGGTGAACCACCCACCCTTGTCATTCCTGCAGGGAAGAGGGTCACCCTGCCCCAGACAGCCCCTGGTCCTGCCTCCAGCATTGTCCCTGTCCCTGTTGGATCCCTACACACATCCAGGGGGTTGGGAATGATCCATGCTCCTCCTCAGGGAGACCACTCATCCCTGCCAAGAGAAGTCCTGGAAAACATTTCACCCCCATAAACAAGCCAAGAGCAATGTTTCCTGCAGGGGCAGCAGGAGCCAGTGCTGATGCCAATGGCCTTGAACGTCCCCAAAATCCATCAAATCCCTCCCATCCCCTCCCTGCCCAGAGCTCTGGACCCTCACAGGGAGTAGCAGGGACTTGATATCTGCTAATTCCTTGCAAATCCTTGGAGGAGAAGCTCTGGAGAGGAGCAGGAGCTGTGCTGCAGCCCCAATCCGACCTGCCATGCCAATTTGCTGGGCTCTAATCCCTTCCCTCCGGAGCTCACAAGTATTAATGATGACACACGACACTCCTGAGGAATGGGCAAATATTGTTATGCTATTCCAAACCTT